ACTTATGAGGAGGAGCCGGTAGCTATTCTAGCCCGGCAGGTTCGACAGTTGAGGTCTAAGAGTTATCCTTCAGTTCGAGTTCAGTGGAGAGGTTAGCCCATCGAGGCAGCTACTTGGGCATCCGAGTCGGACATGCGAGTAGATATCCACACCTTTTCACTAGTCCAAATACTTTTCTATGTCCGTTCGAGGACGAACGATTATTTTAGAGGTGGAGAATGTGATGACCCGAAAGGTCATTTAAAGTTTTAAACCCTAATTTTGTGTTTCTAAACCTCCAATAGCTTCTTTAAGCCTTCTTCAATTTGCATGCGCAACCCGGGTGTATTTTTGAAAGGCTTTTATGTTAAAAATTAATAAAATATGAAATTTTGCCTTAAAAATCTATTTGAGTTGACTTCGATCAAAATTTTGAGAAAACTGACCCGGATCCATATTTTGACAGTCCTAGTGGGTCCATGTCGTGATTTGGGACCTGGGCGTATGCCCGGAATCGAATTTAGAGGTCCCTAGCTCGAGTTATTGCTTTTTATTGAAAATTTAAAGTTTAAAGGCTTAGTAAATTTCAAGGTTTGACCAATATTTGACTTTGTTGATACCGGGTCCGTATTTTAGTTTCAAAACTCGGTATAATTCCATTACTATATTTATGACTTGTCTGTCAAATTTGGTGAGAAACAGAGTTGGTTTGACGCGATTCGGACGTCTGGTTGTTAAAATAGAAGTTCTAAAGTTTTCTTGAAAATTTGTCGTGCCGTATCTAGTGATACATGATGAAATTGAGAGTAAAAGCATGAAAGATGATGTTGTGCCGTATTTATCATTCTATGGTGAGATTGAGAGTAAAAGCATGATGGGTGATGTCGTGTCATTATTACTGTTTCATGGTGAGGCTGAGAGTAAAAGCACGAAGGGTGATGCCGTGCAGTTTTATTCATTATGTTCGTTCATTTTGTTGGTTAAGGGTTTATGGACTGTTTCTTATTATCCTTCCCTGCTGTAGTTACCATATCTTGTACCTCCCAATAGTACTTGTTAGTTCTTTATTTGATGTTATGTTGTACGTATATTTCTGTCTGTATAGGTTTATTTACGTGGGTGTCCTGTCATAGCCTCGTCACTACCTCGATGAGGTTAGGTTCGACACTTACATAGTACATTGGGTAGGTTGTACTCATACTACACTCTGCACTTCTTGTACAGATTTTGGTACTGGTCCCAGCTGCACGTGAGGTGCATCAGTTCAGATTAGCATTTGGTGACTCGAGGTAGATCTGCTAGCGTCTGCAGATCTTGAAGTCTCCTTCGATTTCCCCTATTTACTGTTCTTTTCATTTGAAACAGTTGTATTTATTTCAAACCCTATTTGTAGAGACTCTAGAAGCTCGTGAACTTGTGACTCGAGATCCGGGTTGTACTTAGATATTGTTGATTTTTATGTCATTTCGTACTCCGTTTTAGTTTCATTTCGGTTTAATTGGTTTTACTTATTTGAAATAATTAAAATTGGGTTAAAGATCTTCTAACATTGGCTTGCCTAGCAAGTGAAATGTTAGGCGCCATCACGGTGCAGAAGGTGAGAATTCCGGGTCGTGACCGCCCTAAAATACAAATTTAATTGATTTGACATAGTGGTCCAATTTTGGGTTAAACACTTCTATCCGAATATGTCACAATGAACTCTTCAATTTTTCTAGCAGAATAGCCTAATAAACACTTCTACTTGTCCTGTTTTATCATCCCGATCCCGATACTCTGCGAAGTTTCATCCAGACACTCGTAGTTTTTAAAACACATTACTTTAAACCCCTCCAGCATCGCGTGTTCTTCAAACATACGATGTGGATGACACATCATAGTCCACATCAGATTTTTAATGACACATCATTCTTTTTTTAACTTTAATTTCAAAAATTTAATTCTTTTCCTTTTTTTTTTGCTCTACTCCTCCCCCACCCTTGGCCAACTATTGAAAACATCAAACATGACATCTTTCGTCTTACATTCGTCTCTTTGATAGTCAAACATGTCCCTCCGTCAAAGAACCTTTACCAAAAATCAACTTCGTTAGAGAACTATAAGCTTGCAATGGATCCCTTAAATTAGTTTAAACTCGTTAATCTGAGATCCTTAAACCAAGTAGCTGAAGCTAAGAAATCTTGATAGATAAGCTGCTTGAGCACAAGGGGGGGGGGGGGAATCAAGACCTCAGATAACCAAGAGGAATAAGGAAATGCAAACAACTTCTCTGCAATTAATGAATGGATATATTATAACATTTTTCAAAATTTGAATCTTGGAAAGAGGAAAATTTAATCCTACAGCCTGCATATTACCATCTTTACCGGCGGTAGCACCACAGTGGACAACTAAACTGGATCTCCAACACCTCACCATAAACTGCCCAAAAAATTAGATTTTCAGCTTCTCTCATCAAATAAAATTCCACCATTAAATATCCATTCCACCACCTGAGAATCTATTAGTTCTTAAATAATTGTTACCCAAACCAGATTCAATACCGCCAATAGACATAGATCTAATTCATCTTAGAAACATCAATGGCGATTGCTCTTAAAAAAAATTACTATTTTTTTCTCAAATATTGACTGAAGGTTTGTGAAAATGGGTAGGAGAATAACGGGAAAGGAATAAGGGGAGAAAGAGAAAAGAAAAATGGAGGAGGGGAATAACGGGAAAGGAATAAGGGGAGAAGAGAAAAGAAAAATGAAGGAGGGGTGGGGAAAGAACGAGAAAGGGGAATGGCAGAAAGAGAAAAAGAAATGGGGNGTTCACGTATTTTGTCCAACTCGGTCATGAAGTTGCCACGTATGCTTGGTCAACGATAAGAGAAGTTTAAAGTAATGTGTTTTAAAAACTAATAGTGTCTCGATGAAATTTCGTAGAGTATCGGGACCGGGATGATAAAACGGGACAAATAAAAAAAATTATTAGGCTATTCTGCCATTTTTTCTAGCGCTCACATCTTGGTAATACAATGAAAATTTTCATATACTCCATATATTCGATGACAATGATTTGTTTTCCATCAGTGAAATATATTTTCATTATTTAACCACTCTAAATAGATAAGCATTGCAAAGTGAAGCGCAAATATTGATTGTTTACCGCAATAGAGTTGGAAAGATAGACGTTCCATCACTCGCAATCGCATATTCCTTTCAGGCCAATGCCCTTAAATTTGCCCTTTATTTGTCTTTTTTTCTTCTTCTTATATTTTAGGATGGGGTCAACACAAATGTGGTAGCTCTAGCAAAAACGTTTTTAACTTTATTTTTTGTTTTGTTGATATTAGGACTGCATATTACTTGAAAACCCCATAGGGCCTACAACCCATTTTTCTACTTGAAATCATAAAAGGAGACTTCGGTTATAGTCAACGATTCCAACTTGCAAATAATCACGAATTATTTGTCAAACGGTCAAAAGAAGAATTTCAAAACAATAATTGAGTGTCTATCGCACGATTGGATTTGGTTAATTGCGCCAATAAACAAGGTAGAACTAGCCATCAGCCTTTCTGTATGAGAATTTTCATACAGAAAATCACAAAAAACATTTAGGACTTAAAGCTATATATGTTAATGACAATATAAAGTTTTGTTACGCTATCAACGTAAATCAAAAGTTAGTCACCATTTTTACATAATTACCGGTTAATGGTTATCATAGAAAATTACCAATAATGATCTTATAAGTGATCTAATTGCATAAATATTTTTTATACCAACAATGTATGTAAACTCAAACATCAATATCGAAGCTCATGTCAAGACTAAGTGTACTATACAAGGCAAATCATGGTACAATAGCACAGAAAGTCTGGCCAATATCCAAGCCTTCATTGACTGAAACTTCTGCAGATATAGCTGTGTTTAACAAAAGCAACAACAATCCAGTGGAATCCCACAAGTGGGGTGTAGAGAGGATAGTCTGTACGCAAACCTTACCCTTACTCCAGAGGAGTAGAAAGGCTGTTTCCGATAGATCCTCGGCTCACGGTGATGGTAAAAGACAGTGGAGCAGTAACATCAAATGTCAATTAAAGTGCAGAATCGAATTTTCAATTTCAGTTTCTTTCGAGATTCATATATACACTAGTGGGCATATATGCGGATCGGATTCAAGCTACAGAAGGAAGGGGAAAAGTATCCTCCTGGTAACAATATGTAGTGCTCATCGGTATTTATGAGTGGTTAGGAAATTTCACTAATCTAAACTTTCATGCTATGAACCAGTATATTTTCCTTTAGACTTTCTGCCTCAGATGTACCAAACTTGTTCTCTTTGATTTCCATTTCCTTTTATAAAGTCCTATCAGTAGCCAGCTACAACCAAGGATTTCTTTGAGCAGAGGCAGATATTTTCTAATCGTCACTCATTGACTACGTAATTGAATTACTCTTGACACACCATAAAAGTCAAATGTGATTAAAATAATGTGTCAATGATTTCGTGAGCATCACACGAGTAGCTGCAACTCTTACTCGACTAATATGCAGCACTAGAGCCAATACATTATATCCTCCTACATTAGCTTGCAATGTCAACCTCTCATCAACCATGACAGGAACCAATCTATTTTTTAAAAATAAAGACCATGAAAGGAACCAGTCTTAAACCATAGGATCTACAGCTAGTATATCCTGATATGACTATATGAGTGCTGCAAAGCTGCAAACTTGATGGTAAAAATCAAGCTAGTCAAATTCAATATTAATTTCGAAAATTTTCTTTACCAAGGACTTTTATAGTTAGTAGTATCAGCTGTCAAACAAGCTTGAACAGTCGATATCAGTAAAGAAGAAATAGATATCTAGCAGTAACACAAACACACAAAAGATATACTCGCAACCCGGAAATACAGATATACTTGTGTCTCACCATAATGAAGTCGTGAAATATTTCAGTAATCTAAACTTGAGTAGCAGCACAAAAATGTTTCAGTAATCTAAACTTAAAACATAATAAGTCTGTGAACTATTGAAACTTAAAACTTGAAATCTAAAATCCAAAAGAACTGTAAGATGAAAACATGATAAGAGTACTGCAAGGCCTCTAACTTTGGTGAATGACTGTATTTTCAGCCCTTAGCACTACAGTCCTGCAAAAACATATTGAGCAGAGAGAACATATTTTAGAAGTCTTATAATAGTAAAGTACCAATATAACTCTTTCAAACAGAATAGAAGTTTAAATTTTACCTTTGCAGTTCTGAGAGCAACAACTGCCCTATAAATATCCGGCGCCACAACTATAATAGCTGCCCAATCGGTTTTGGATATATCCGATTTCACATGACGATCCATCGCATTGCAGTATGCAGTCTGAATTAATGCCTCGAGATCAGCTCCGCTAAATCCTTCTGTATCTGTAACTGCATATTGAACATGTATTTACTCCCTGAAAACTTATTTTCTTAGAGCACAATATCTTAAGATACAAAATATTACTCCCTCCGTTTCAAATTAGATGAGGTAGTTTGACTGAGTACGGAGTTTAAGAAAAAAACAAAACAAGACTTTTGAAACATGTGATCCTAAAAGTTTAAGGGGCAAAAGTTTGGTGGGATCATGACATTTGTGTGGCTATTTATTTTTTAACTGAATGCTATAAAAGTTTTTTATTAAGAGTAAAGTGGGTAAAATATGTCATTCTTTTTGGAATAGACTAATAAGGAAAGTATATTATTTAAATTGAAACGGAGGTAGTATTAAACTAACCTATCTTCTGGAGTTCCAGATGTGGATCTATCATCCCCCTCCATTGAAGTCTCTTAACATTAATCCTCAGAATCTCCAGTCGTCCCGCTTCATCGGGAAGACCAATTTTCAGATGTAACTCGACTCTACCCGGCCTAAAATCAAATCATATTATGTTAAAATTAACTAAAGTTTATTGATATAGAGGATAGTAGAGGGCTAAGTATTGGATCATGATAAGGAAATAAAAAGTATACCTCGTCAATGCAGTGTCAATTAAATCTATCCTGTTCGTCGTCCCAATTAGCAATATATTGCTTAAGCTAGTGTATCCATCAATCTAGCAAGAAATTAATAATTAGGCATAATATAGAGAGCTTAGATTAAGAAAAACGAATGCATAGAGAGACTAGAGTGTTTGAGGCCCACCATAGTGAGAAGCTGGTTCACAATCCGATCACCCGTGGTGTTAAATGGATTAGTTCCTCTTTGCCTTGAAATGGAATCTAACTCGTCAAAAACTATCACATGCAGAGGACTCTCCTCACCTAAACAAAAAAAAAAGCGTCATATAGAGAGTCGATGATAAAGGTGATCGGATTTTGAATCAAAAACTGTAATGTACAACTCAATGATTACAATCAGTAACTAAGAACTAGAACGAACTCCATTGATATCTATAAGCACATCTTAATTCTTAAATGATAAAGAATTGGATTAGGAAGAGAAGAGAGAAGGAAAGAGACCGAGAGAGAAGGGAAGGGAGATATAGCCACAGAGAGAAGGGAGAGAATTAGGATAGGAAAGATTGAGAGAAAGGGGAATTTTTCATATTTTCATTCTTGGTCCTTTACTTATGTGGCTCGAATTATTTATAGGCTGGTGTTTAAACTGATTTCCCAACTAATTTCACTAACAACTAACTAATCTTGATTTCCTAATTACTATTTCTCCTGTACATGACATTCCCCACTGCTTGAAAACTGCCTTGTCCTCAAGGTCAATGTTGCAGTCACTTTCATTTGCTGAAACAACTCTTTCACTTGATTCAGTAGATCAAACACCATATTGGTAGCTTCAACTTCGTAACCAGTGGAAAAGACAGAATAAAAACACTCAAACATGCTGGAAATTGTGATATCCACATTCAGAACCAGAGCAACCTGATTATCCCAACTGAGAGCACACACTTACTATGAAGGAAAGAATTGAGTCCTTAGACAGGATAGAGCTGCGAGCGGACACCTCGATTATATTACCTCCGGGATCAAAGATCAAAATTGGTTTTGTATTTCCCCTTTTAGAACCATAAGCAACAGAGAAACATTTGCTTGACAGGAGGAAAGACATTCATGTAAACTTCCATGGACTATGAGTCTATCAAATATCCAGAGACACAAATCTTCATCATGCACTGCATTTAGCAGAGAACTGATTAACCTTATGCTTTGAGCAACATCCAGGCTTGGTATCCCCAAAGGATAAAAACTCTCATCGGCATATCCCCAATCAACAATCATTTCTAAATTTGACAGCAGACTTCTTTTCATTGTATCATTTGGGCAAGAGGTCAACCAAAAACCAATAGTGTTACACCGTTAAGTTTGATTTCCTTCTCTAGTGTGGTCCTTCATTAATGTGGCTCGAATTATTTTATAGACTGGTGTTTAGACTGATTTCTCAACTAATTTCACTAACAACTAACTAATCTTGATTTCCTAGCTACTATTTCTCCTGTACATGACAAAAACTACAAACTAATCTAAAGCAGACTAAAATACTTACCTTTTGCTTCAAGATCATTAATGGCTGAATAAAACACCTCCCTTATCTTGGCCTCACTTGATCCTGTAAGTTGACTAAATATTTCGGGTCCTCTGACAACCTGAAAACAAAGTCAAAGGCTTTAAAGAAAGCAACTGATTTAAAGAAGAAATAATTTTCCTGAAATAAAAGCATTCACAAACCTGTAATTTTCCATTGAGAATTTTCGCAATGGCTCGTGCTATCGAGGTTTTTCCCGTTCCAGGTGGCCCATGAAGGATTAAACCTTGTTTGTTTTTGAAGCGAATCCTACATTAGAAAAACACAAAAATTTTGTTACAACAGACAAGTTTACATTAAAATGGAGAACAAATTAAAAAACTTACTCTCTTGTGATGGCACGTGGTATAAAGCGAGGGACAACTAGCATGGAGAAGATATGGTTGAGTTCATTCCCTAGACCCCCAACTCCCAAGGATTTCATTTCAGCGGCAAGATCACGAACATCGATATCTCTTCTTAAAACCTCTTTGAGTTCTTTTTGACCACTTACCTATCAAGTGACTCAGCATTGTTAAAAGCAATTAAAAACTCATATAAGAATGCACTGAAACTTCTTTTCTCAAGCTTAAATGTTAAAATATCATTTCTTCTAGCACTATATATGCAGTTTGTGAAGGGTCTCCTCCATATTACACCCTCTAGTGTCATTTTAGTCATCTTCGTCTCTCTTTCTTCTAGATGCAAAGAACATCAACATTCAGATTTAGAAAAAAACTTAGAATGAACTAACGGAGTTTCCCCCTAAAGTAAAGATTTCTACTGTAAACTTAAATCAACCTTTGGGATACTAGTCTGTAACAAAGAGTACATTACTTCTTTCAGATAGAGGCTATAACCAATGAAAGTATGAGATGTAAGATAAAAAAACTTAACAACTCATGAAGCATATTACTTATCGGAATAATCCACATCAGAAAAGAATTTCTACTAAAACCCCAAGGAAGACTGAATCTCCAATGTGCAAGTTAAACAAGTCTTTTATCGAGTTGACTGTTGTCATGTGAAGTTTCAGAAAAGAAACAGTGCAAACTAAAAGGAAGCAGAAATCTACATGATTCTAAGAATTCTTCAGTGCCATTTGAACTTTACTTCACTATTCAAAATCAGTTAAATTGCACAGCTAGTACATCACATATCAAAATCAAATAGAAAAAACTAAATACATTCTAAGAAGTACTCATACTAGTAATAAAAATAGGTATGCTGGTGCCAAAATTTACAGAAGCTTGAAAATCTATTAAAATGCAGCTAAAAGAATTAGTAACTATAGTACAGTAATTGTTACTTCGTGGGTGAGCAAAGTAAAAACATTAACATTTAGCAGCACACCTGCATACTATAATTATAAATATTAAGCTTTATTTTGGTTAATAGACATTTAAGCTGGTTCCAAGTTATAATGAGCTGACGGAGTTTTCCCCCCTAAGGTAATGATTTATACCAAAAACATAAACCAAACTACGGCATACTCGTCTGAAATAAAGGGTACATTTACTTGTTTTCAATAGAGGCTATAACCAATTAATGTATGACATGCAGCATAAAACTCTTAACAACTCATGAAGCATGCTACTTATCAGAATAATCCATCAACAATTCCTAAGGTCAGCATGTCAACAATCTTCAGAAAAGGGCTGATCTTAGCTCCTTCGGGCAGCAAACTCCAACACAGGTTCCATCAAAGGGACTACCGCGATTTCACGTGCACAACAATGTACATCGTGCACAACAATGTACATACAAACAACATTTGAAGATGGATGGTAGATACTCAGCAAATAAGATTTGGAAAGAACTAATTTTGCATAGTTAACACATGCAGTGGCACAAAACAATGCTATGGAGCCAAAAGTCAGCAATCATGACTAATCAATAAATGAATGACTGACTAACAAAGAAAATATACTCCACTATCTAATAGATATAACCATCATTAAAGATGAACATATGATGACCCAAAAAGTCATCTTATGTTTTAGAACTCGAATCTGCACTCTTAAGCCTTAAAAATCTCATTTTACCCTCCTCGATTTTCGTGCGTAGCCCGGACAGGTTTCCGAAAAGTTTTATGTTGAAAACTAATGAAAATAAGAATTTTTGCCTTAAAAGTTGATTTTAGTTGACTTCGGTCAACATTTTTGGTAAACGGGCCCTGATCCATGCTTTGACGGTCTCGGTAGGTCCGTATCGAATTATGAGACCTGGGTGTATGCCCGGAATCAAATTCGAAGGTCCCTAGCTCAAGATATGAATTTTTGATGAAAATTAAAAGTTTGAAAATTATTTGTTTTTAAGAATTGATTGATAGTTGGCATTTTTAGTATCGGGTCCGTATTTTGGTTCCGGAGCCGAGTATAGTCTCATTATGATATTTAAGACTTGTCTGCGAAATTTGGTGAGAAACGGAGTTGATTTGACATGATTCGACCGTCCAGTTGAGAAGTTATGGATTTTAAAGTGCTCTTGAAAATTTCATTTTAATTGGTGCTATATTTAAACTTCTAGGTGTTTTGGCAATTTGATCGCGCGAGCAAGTTCGTATGATGTTTTTTGACTTGTGTGCATGTTTAGTTTGGAGCCCCGAGGGCTCGGGTGAGTTTCGGATAGGCCACGAGATGTTTTGGACCTAGGAAAAAATCTGATTTTCTGCAGATTCTGGTGTCTGTCAAATCCTTCTTCGCGTTCGCAAAGATCCTCTCGCGAACGCGAAGAGTAATCTGATGAGGCTGACACTTCTTCTTCGAGAACGCGAAGGTCTACTCGCAAACGCGAAGTGATGGGGGATTTACCCTTCGCGAACGCGACCGGCTCAACGCGAACGCGAAGCACTTGGCGACCTGGGGGAGGGTTGGTCGTTCCTTCATCGCGAACGCGAGCAACGTCACGCGAACGCGAAGGCCAGAGGGGCGTAGCCATTGCGAACGCGATCTGGGTCTCGCGAATGCGAAGGCTTGGCAGCCAGTACCCTTCGTGAACGCGACAGTGGCCTCGCGAACGCGATGCACACTGTCGCCCAGTGCATAAAACAGAATCAAACACGGGTTTAAGCCATTTCTTCAACATTTTTCAAGAACCAAACGGGTAGAGGCGATTTTCAAGAGCCATTTTCTTCCCCAAAGTATTGGTAAGTGATTCTAACCATTTTCTTTTAATTACCCATTACATTCCTTGAATTATTAACCAAAACTCTAGAGTTTTTATGGTAGAATTAGGGGTTAGGGTAGAAAATAGGGATTTCGGGAATTTGGGGATTTAGACCTCAATTTGAAGTCGGATTCCAAAACTAATTACATATTCGGGATCGGGGGTGAATGGGTAAAAAGGTTTTGGTCCGAACCTCGGTTTTTGACCATGCGGGCCCGGGGTCGATTTTTCGACTTTTGAAGGAAAAATCAAAAAATTTAATTTAAGCAATATAATTGATTTCTTTAGCAATATTTGATATTATTGAGTCATTTTTGAATAGATACGAGTGGTTTGGAGGTGAATTCCAAAGGAAAAGTTGTGATTGAGAATTAAGTGGCCTTCGGAGCGAGGTAAGTGTTGTGTCTAACTCTGACTTGAGGGAATTAGGAACCTTAGATTATTTGCTAATTGAAATTCATGTGAGCGGCGTATATGTGAGGTGACGTGTACCTATGCGCCGCCAATTTACCTGTTTTTTTCATGTTTCTCTGTTTTTCTGATATTGTCTCATTCCTATGCCAAATTGCTACGTGTTATACTAGTGTTGTTCAANTCATTCAGCACTCCAGGCATCCCACGGTGCCTCAGGTGGTCGTGGCCCTCAGATGCATTATTCCGACTAGCTAGCCTACAGTGCACCACCAGCCTCTATTAGTGCACTTCCACTCCAGAGTTATCAGGGTGGTTATTCAGGTCGACAGGGTCAGTTTCATGGTCAGCAGTCACAGCAGCCGAGGTTATGTTATACTTGTGGTGATCCGAGGCACATTGCTAGATTTTGCCCTCAGGCAACGGGCAGCTCACAGCATCAGAGTTCTCGCGCCATGGTTCCGGCACCAGTTGCTGCGCCACCTGCTCAGCCAGTCAGAGGCATGGGTCAGGCAGTTAGAGGTGGAGGTCAGGCCGTTAGAGGCGGAGACCAGCCAGCTAGAGGTCGTCCAAGGGACGTAGTTCAGGGAGGTGGGGCCAGCCCCGGTGTTATGCTTTCCTAGCCAGGCCTGAGGCTGAGTCATCTGACGCTGTTATCACAGGTACTGTTTCAGTTTGCAGTAGAGATGCTTCAGTTCTATTTGATCCGGGATCTACTTACTCCTATGTGCCATCCTATATTGCTTCCTATTTGGTTGTGCCCCGTGATTCTTTGAGTGCTCCTGTATATGTGTCCACACCAGTGGGAGATGTTATTGTTGTAGATCTTGTTTATCGTTCGTGTGTGGTCACCATTGGGAGTCTTGAGACTCGTGTAGATATTCTACTTCT